ACTTAGTCTATTCCCGCCCCCCACCCTAACTCTCCATCTAATACAATCGTGAAAATTTTCCTTTCCAGCACAAATCCTTTTCCACAAACTTTTTTCAAATGGTCTCGTCGGCATCCTAGTGTACCACCCTCTATCAGCAGTGTGATACTTCACCTTAATGATTCTTCTCCACAGACTACCCTTTTCATTCATGAATTGCCACAATCATTTTACTTTTAGAGCCTGATTCATATCAACCATAGATCTAACTCTCAAACCACCCTGATTTACTAGTGTTTTAATTTTGCCCCAAGCCACCAAATGATATTTCCTATTTTCCATTGAGGCCCCCATAAGAACCTGCATTGGATTGTTTCCAGTTTCTTGGCCATGCTCTTCGGTATGGATAGCAAGGACATATAACATATAGGAATATTTGATTGTGTGTTCCTGATAAGCATTAAATGACCGCCCTTGGATAAAAAGTCTTTCTTCCACCCTGCAAGCCTCCTCTCAAAACAGACCACAATGGCGTGCCATGTCCCCACATCTTTACAATTAACACCCAACAACATGCCCAAATACGTAATCGGCAAGTCCACAACTTTACAGCCTAAAGTCAATGCTAATCTTCCAATATTACTTCCATTCCTCAATCTGACCATCTCTGACTTTGCAAAGTTAATGTTTAGACCAAAGACAATTGGAAACAAAGCAAAACACACCTAAGATTCAGCAAATACCTCTTATCCAGCTGGCAGAATAATAATGTATCATTAGCAAAGAAAAGGTAAGTCACTTCCTCTGTCATCTCTCCACCCACCTTAACCCCACCAAATAGACACAGTTCTCTGGCTCTCATTATTTTGTTCAGAACTTCCATAATAATGATAAACAATAGAGGAGAAAGTGGGTCTCCCAGTCTAATTCCTCTAGATGCTTTCAAGAACATCGATGGGTCTCCATTCATATAACTACAAACGAAGTTTTAGTGATACAAGTGTTCATCTACTTCCTCCATTTGGCTCCAAATCTCATCCTACAAGCAAGTAGTCAACAAAAACTCAATTTACATGGTCGTATGTCTTCCGCATATCTAATTTAAATAATATACCAACTAACGTGAAGTACTAAATTATGCTCAAACACATTCGTTAACCGCATTAATAATTGATCTATTGTCATGTGACAAGAATAAGACTATATAATCTGCAATTAGATATGGAATACCTCCACTCTATCATTAGAACTACAAGACCTACTAACCCTCCTTCCCATCCACTAGCCAACATTTGACCAAGAACATCAACTACAAGGTAAAAAAAAGGGAGAGAGGACCTTATTGCCTCACATGCCGAGTATTTGGAAACCATTCTTGAGCTACTTTATTAACTCTCGTTTCAAAAGAAACAGACAACAAACAACCTTGTATCCATATTCCCAATAGTACCACACAATAATTATCATTGAATTGTAAAAGAGAAAGGTAGCAATCCTTGGGATAACTGAAACCATCTCCTTCAAAACGCTTTCTACATAATACTACTATCAATTTTGCAATTTATTCCTTGATTCATTTTAATTGTTGTCCATGAGAACAACCAATAGCTCCAAAGATTTAAGCCAAAGTAGTCCTCTATACCAACTCTTATATTTTGGCCAATGTAGCTTCTTTCTAGGGGAACCCTCATAACCTATTTATAAAGATAATGCATGCATCCAAAGTACTTAAAGACATAAATGTCTCTAAATGCCTTGACTATTCATTTTATCACTGGTTAATAGGAATTTTCTTTTTTCCATAACCTAAACGATAGAGAAATCAATTTCACTTTATTAAGTCTTTTGAACTCTTTCTATCCATCTCAACAATCAGATTGCAAGGTATGGACTCTTGATTCATCAGGAACACTAACTTGTAAATCCTTTTACCAAAAACAATGATTGTTACCATAGCTCCCTCACCAAGACATTCTGGTAAGTTAAAGTTCCTTCAAAGGTGAAGGTGTTTGCTTGGATCACAATTTTAAATTGGTAAACACCGAGTTGTTGCAAGTCTGTAGGCCTAACTCTGCTCTGTCCCTGATATTTGTGTGATGGTTATGCGTTAGGGAGACACATAATCATCTGTTCTTCCATTATGAGATGGCTTGGAGATTATGAAGCAAGTTCTTTGGCACTTTCAACCCACCTTTGGCTGTCCCTCCTTCAGATTGTTTTCTGCATTCAAGCTCTGGAAGTTTGTAGATCAGGACGAAGGCTAAACCATTATGGAAAGGTGCGCTTTTTGCAGGATTGTAACTATTTAATCAAAGAGGGATCACCATATTTTTTACAATTGTTCGTTACCAAACTTGATCCTTGGGGAGGAGATGACTTTTTTTAACTCTTTTTAGGCTAAGGCTTATTAGAAGTACTTGAGGATTTCATTGTCAGTTCTACATAGGAGTTGGGAAGCATTGATATTGTGACAAGTTGTCACTCTCTTTGTCTAATGTTTTGTCTTCCTTGTTTTTTGTTTCTTTTTACTTCGTTTCTCAACAGGATAACTTATTCGCTGTAATTCTTGTATTGTGCTCCTCTTTTCTCAATAACATTTCTTTTCCTATTTAAAAAAAAAAGATTGCTATTGTTGCCCATTTCATATTTTTTGTATAAAAAGGGGGCAATTTGTAACAGACTCAACTACCCTCCTTTGACATGCTAATTTCAATGGAGAAACCTCTTTTAAGGTAGTTGTGGAAATTCTAATCCAAGAAAAATAGTCCCATGGAAAAATCTATGCAAAAAGTGTGTCAAAACAATTGATAGAGCGAGGCGGTTCAACTGTCTTCCAGATTTAAATGTTTGACAAGCATTGTGACTACAGAAGTAGATCCTTAATAATGAAACAGTGACAGAAATATCATTGCAAAGATTACTTTTGAATAAGACAAGCATGGTAGTATAAGATTATGAAACAAACCACATTCAGTTGGAAGCAACACTGACCTAAAGTGAAACAAGTGAATCCATTAGAATGGCAAAAGACAATAAGAATATAAAAGGTTCAGATGGATTAATGGTGCGATGAAAAGTACATGATTGTTATTCCAAGGAAATGAAATGGAGAGTTAAATGCAAATTTGTTAGAAAAGATGGTTATCTGAGATTCTATAGATAAATTATGCAGATAGAAAAGTAATTCATCAGTTATTCTTCCCATACCATATTAGCTAGAAGGGTAAATTTAGTAGCATA